TGGAGATCTATGGTGACGAGCTTGTGTTTTAGACTTCAGGGACCATTGGGATAATCACCTACCTTTGATAGAGTTCGCCTACAATAACAGCTACCAGACAAGTATTAGCATCGGTATGGCTCCGTACGAGATATTGTATGGCCGACCATGCAGATCGTCAATCTGTTGGGAAGAGGTGGGTGATAAAAAATTATTCGGCCCAGATCTTGTAGAGGAGACTACAGCCAAGATAGTTAAAATCAGGAAGAGCATCCAGACAGCTCATAGCAGGCAGAAAAGTTATACAGACTCCTGGAGGAGGGATTTGAAATTTGGGAAAGGTGACCGAGTGTTTCTTAAGGTCACTCCTTTCAAAGGGATTAGTAGATTTGATAGTAGGAAAAAATAAAATTCTCGGTTCATTTGACCATTTGAGATGTTAGACTGGATTGGTACGACTGCCTACATACTAGCACTACCTTCAGAGCTATCTAGGGTTCATAATGTGTTCATCTATGCTATGTAAGTACAACCCAGACCCCTCACACATCTTGTCCTACGAGCCCCTTTTACTCCAGAAGAATTTATCTTATGAGAAGGTACCGGTAGACATTATACACCGAGAGAGTAGACTACTCTGCAACTGAGAAATTACATTCATCAAGGTCATATGACAGAACTATACGCAGGAAGAGGCCACTTGGGAACTGGAATCAAGCGTCAGAGCCCAGTATCCCCAGCTATTTGACTAGCAAAAAGGCAACAGATTTGAGTGACCGAATTTCATTTAAAGAAGAGAGAGTTGTAACACCCGGATCTAAAAATTGGTCCAAGATAATGTTTACGGATTATGAATATATATATAATAATTAAAAAATATATATTTTATTTTATTTTGATTGAATTTTTGAGAAAAAACTAATTAGGGATGAAATTAAAAATAATTTTAGGAAGAAGAGCTGAAAATTTTAGTTCAAATAGTATTTTTGAAAGAAAAATTGAAAACAGTGGGTTAAAATACAATTAGAGAAAG